TAGAAGACCGCATTGTCTCAGCCCAAAATCTCCTGAAACTGACAAGCAAGTTCAGCAAAGTCTCAGGATACAAAATCAATGTGCAAAAATCACAAGCATTCCTATACACCAATAACAGACTTAAAGAGAGCCAAATCAAGAACGAACTGCCATTCACAATGCTACAAAGAGAATAAAATACCTAGGAATATAACTAACAAAGAACGTAAAGGACCTCTTCAAGGAGAAGTACAAACCACAGCTCAAGGAAATAAGAGAGGACACAAACAGATGGAGAAACATTCCATGTTCATGGTTAGGAAGAATCAATATCGTGAAAATGGCCATACTGCCCAAAGTAATTTACAGATTCAACACTATCCCCATCAAGCTACCTATGATCCTCTTCACAGAACTGGAAAAAATCACCTTAAACTTCATATGGAACCAAAAGAGAGCCCACATAGCCAAGTCAATCCTAAGCAAAAAGAACAAAGCTGGAGGCATCATGCTACCTGACTTCAACTATACTACAAGGTTACAGTAATCAAAACAGCATGGTACTGGCACCAAAACAGAGATAGCACCTTACTCTGGGCAAAGATTTTATGGATAAGACCTCAAAAGCAGAGCCAACAAAATAAAAAATAGACAAATTGGATTATGTCAAACTAAAAACTTCTGCACAGCAAAGAAAAACATCAACAAAGTGAACAGAAAACCTGCAGAATAGGAGAACATCTTTGCAAACTATTCATTTGGTAAGATTTTAATATCCAAAATATACAAGGAATTCAACTCAACAACAACAACAACAAATACTAAGTAAACAATGGGCAGAGGATCTGAATAAACATTTCTCAAAAAAAAAAACTATACGAATGGCCAACAAGTGTATGAAAAAATGCCCAACATCACTAATTATCAGGGAAATTCAAATCAAAACCAAAATGAGACCTCATCTCACCCCAGTTAATGTGAGTATTATCAAGAAGACTAAAATTAAAAAATGTCAAAGATGTGGAGAAGGGTAATTCTTATATACTGTTGTTAGTGGGAATGTGAATTAGTATGGCCATTACAAAATGTGGTATGGAAGCTCTCAAAAAAGCTAAAAATAGAACACTACCAAATGATCCAGCAATCCCACTACTGGGTATGTATGCAAAAGAAAGAAAATTGGTATCTCCAAGAGACATCTGCACTCCTATCACTATTTATGTTACCCAGGATATAGAATCAACCTATAAAGATAAAGAAAGCAGATAAAGAAAATATGGTGTATATATACACAATGGAATACTATTCAGTCATTAAAAAGTCTTAAATCTTGTCATTCATGGCAACATGGGTGAGCCTGAAGGATATTTTGTTAAGTAAGTCAGGCACAGAAAAATAAATACCGCATATTCTTGCTCATGTGTGGAAGCTTAAAAAGTTGCCAGTATAGAAGTATAGAGTAGAATATTGGCTACTAGAGGCTGAGAGGGGGACGAAGTGGGGTTATAGAGGTTAGTTAATGGATAAAATATTACAGGATAGGAGGAATAAGTTCTAGTGTTCTATAGCACTGTAGGATGACCCTGGTAAAGAATTTATTGCATTTTTCAAATAACTAGAAGACAGAATTTTGAATGTTCTCAATACTAAGAAAAGTTTGAGGTGGGGCCGGGCACGGTGGCTCAAGCCTGTAATCCCAGCACTTTGGGAGGCCGAGGCGGGTGGATCACGAGGTCAAGAGATCGAGACCATCCTGGTCAACATGGTGAAACCCCGTCTCTACTAAAAATACAAAAAATTAGCTGGGCATGGTGGCGCGTGCCTGTAATCCCAGCTACTCAGGAGGCTGAGGCAGGAGAATTGCCTGAACCCAGGAGGCGGAGGTTGCGGTGAGCCGAGATCGCGCCATTGCACTCCAGCCTGGGCAACAAGAGCGAAACTCCGTCTCAAAAAAAAAAAAAAAAAAAAAGTTTGAGGTGAAAAATGCTCATTTTCCTGATCTGATCATTGTACATTGTGTATATGTATCAAAATATCACACTGTGCCCAATAAATATGTATGATTATTATGCATCAATTTAAAAAACAATTTAAAAATAGCTGACATAAATGAATTCTAAACAATGAGTGAGGTTCTTAAGCAGTCTTTGGTCCCCTTACCCACGCTTGAGAAGTCCTTTTTAGAGCCTCAGGTATGACTTAATTCTCAGATATAGATAAACTAAACTATGGTAGCAAAGCAAATAGAAAGTTTGTTTTAGGTTTGGGTCAAGTAAGAAAAAAAGACATACAGATATAAAAATTAAGAAGAAAACAAAGTTAGAAGACAGACTGATGTGAACACTTGCTCAGGAAAATGAGTAAAATGATTTTATTCAAAATTTGAAGTTTTCTTTAGCAAAGAAGGGGACTGAGATGTTTGGGTCTTATTATTGACATGAGAGGACAGACTATGATTTAAAACAGACCTACAGCGTTTAAGTATGCACAATAAATTAGTGGCTTAACAGTGAAGGCAGAACTTTCAAAGATTTTAAATTATACCTCCTTAGGGTCACTTGGGATTAACAAAGAGGAAAATCTTCCTAGCAGGTTACTGAGAACAATTTCCTAGTTCAACTATATATCCCCCCACATCTGTTTACTTATTCAGGAATTATGTAATATTACATTTAAACAAAAAATTCCACACGGACAAAAAAGAGAACTGAAATAACTTTGAAATATTAATGTCAATATATCTATCGGATAAAATTATGTAAGACTCCCAAGTACTACTGTCATAGAATGAAGGGATTTTTCCTTTTACCAATGACTCTGCCCAGGGCTCCCTTCATGTCTCTGTTCCTCAGGCTGTAGATGAAGGGGTTCAGCATGGGGGCCACCACAGTGTACATCACAGCCATGACAGTCTCCTTTAGAGTAGAATTATTAGCTGATGGGCATAAGTAGAGACCAATAATTGTCCCATAGAACAGTGACACCACAGAGAGGTGGGAACCACAAGTAGAGGCGGCCTTGCAGATACCCTTAGAAGAAGGGACCTTGAGGATGGAGAAGACAATTCGTGCATAGGACCCAATGATAAGTAGAAATGGGATGACAAGAATGAGGCCTCCCATGATAAATATCACCAATTCATTAACTCGAGTGTCAGAGCAGGCCAGCTTCAGCAGAGCAGACATATCACAGAAAAAGTGGAGGATCACATTGTCTGCACAAAAACACAACCTGGCCATGAGTAAAGTGTGCAACATGGCGTGGAAGGTGGTCAGCACCCAGGACAGCGCCACTAGGGAGAGACACAGCATGGGGCTCATGATGGCGACGTAGTGTAGGGGGAGGCAGATGGCCACGTAGCGGTCATAGGCCATGGCCGCAAGGAGGAAGCTCTCTAGGTCTGCGAAATACAGGAAGAAGTACATCTGGGTCAGGCAGCCCGCATAGGGGATGGATGGGTCTTGGCTCTGCATGTTCTGTAACAACTTTGGAATGGTCACGGAAGAGAAGCAGAGGTCAGAGAAGGACAAGTTGCTGAGAAACAAATACATGGGCGTGTGGAGATGGGAGTCCAGTCGAATGAGGATGATGATGAGGAGGTTCCCCAGGAGGGTGGTAAGATACATGGCCAAAAACAGGGCATAGAACAGGTTTTGCTGCTCTGGCTGGATGGGCAGGCCCAGGAGGAGGAACTCTGAGATGCTGGTTTGATTTTGTACGGTCATGCTGTCTTCAGTTGCCTTAAAAACCTGAATAAAAATAAACATGTTTCTATAGTGCATGGTCATTAGGTGTTCTTCAGTCGTTGGTTTCACCATTATCCGTAACAACCATCGCTATAATCAGAAATGTGCCACATCACAAAATGCATGCTTCTTTTCACGATGATTGATCTCACCTTTCATAACGTGTAACACGATTGACTCTTTTCTTCTAAAACACTATGATCTATTAGCCTCTGTGCGATCACACTAGTTGCCTGACACATACTGATCATTCCTTCTTAACAACTGTAACTGGTTTCCTCTCTAACAGTATCTTATATATCGGTGTTTTCTGGGGATTTTTCCTAAACGGTTCTAATTGTACAGACCAAGCCCTCAAAGAGTTCGTCTGTCCCCGTGACATTGATTACCATCTACACCTCATGGGTAAACGTATCACCATTAGTATTTAGTAACCAGTTGCTTCCTGATTATCTCCCAGCTTAACAGATCCCAAGGGCAACTCATGATCTCACCCTGCCACTCTCCCAATCCACTCACTCCTCCAGTCTCTCATATCTCAGTAAAAGGAATCCAGGCTCAAGCCAGAAACCTGGGAGTTTTCTTTCATTCATTTATTTCTCTCAAGACCAACATCTTATCCTAGCAAGTCATATAGAGTCTGTACTTCATTCTCCTAATCCACCCACTGCTTATGCCAACTGCCACAATCTAGAACAGGCTGACATCCTGATCCCCTGTCTGGACTACTGGAATGGTCTCTTCATCTCCCTGCTCCTGTGATCACTAGCCTTCAATCCATTCACCCTGTGGAATTCTAAGATAAAAATCGGATCATTATTCTCTTGCTCAGAGTCCTTATGGATTCTCATTACTTAAGATATAGGCAAAATTCAATGACACATGATATTTCATTATCTGACCCATGCCTACCTCCACAGCCTCATCTGGTCCCACAATGAAGCTTGCATCAGCGTTCTCCAGCATTCTCCAGAAATGCTGGCCTTGTAAGTCACAATTTCTTGCCTCCAGATGTTCATGCTTGCCGTCCTTCTGTGTAACATCTTCTTCCCTCTGCCCCCTCTTACTTGGCATACTGCTGCTTCGTGTATATTACATGTCACTGGCTTAGCTAAATCTTCCTTTGTCTCCCCAGGTGAGACCTGCTTCTGTGTTTCCACAGCATCTGGTACTCACTCAGCAGCTTTCAATGCCCTTGATTGCTTGTTTATAGCTCAGTTTCCTACCAAACTGTAAACCATACAGGTGGGCTGTAAAACCAGCCCAATACTCAAAACTATCCTATAGAACATCATACAATTGGGGAAATGATGACCCTCAGGTTGTAGGGACACTAAGGTACCAGCTTATTTACCCTGCTTTGTGACTGCAGCAAGGCCAGCACCTGGCATGGTGCCCGGATATGGCCAATGTTTCACTAATATTTGTTGGCTGTTCTTCAGGCTGAGACATGCATTCCTCCAACTTTAAAGCAGCCAACTCCCATTGTAGTTAAACCCCTACGAAATCCTCCCAGAATAAGACTTCACTAGCCTTAACCATTTGGTGCTATTTTTGACGCTTCATTACAAAATTCTGAGATAAACTTCAGACCTATGGAAAATGTTAGACCATCCAACCACACTACCCTTTATTTTAAAAAGATAGCCCAGGCTGGGCACAGTGGCTCACACCTGTAATCCCAGCACTTTGGGAGGCCAAGGTGGGTGGATCATGAGGTCAGGAGTTCAAGACCAGGCTGACCAACATAGTGAAACCCCGCCTCTACTAAAACTACAAAAAAAAATTAGCCAGGCATGGCTAAAAAATTAGCCATAGCATGCCTATAATCCCAGCTACTCAGGAGGCTGAAGCAGGAGAATCACTTGAATCCAGGAAGCAGAGGTTGCAGTGAGCCAAGATTGCACCACTGCACTCCAGCCTGGGTGACAGACTCTGTCTCAAAAAAAAAAAAAAAAAAAAAAAAAAAAAGACAACCCATTATGCATGTTTACACTGTCATTTTGGTTTTGGTGTCAATGTCTACGTGGTTCAGTTATGTTGACATGAAGAAATGTATCTGAATGTTTGTATAATTCAGAGAGAAAGGGAATAAATATACCTACCCTTGTGACCTCACTGTACATCCTCTCCAGATATCCATACCTCAAAATGCCTCTGAGCTAAGAAAACTAAAGGGTCTTGAGGTATATGAGAAGTTCCTTCCTGAAAGGGACGTAGCTAGTCTAACTGCTGGGATTTTCACCCTGCCGATGCTTAATCTAGCCACATTGATAGTTTTTCACATTTGGACATAATGTGCCAGTACTGTAGCAGGGAAAAGGCATCAAGTGAAGTTTCCTATGCCTGTTTTCTCAGAAGTCTGCCTCCTTGGGAAATGAGTGGGACCAATCTCTGGTGTCAAGGATCTGACTGGAAATTTCAAACCAGAGGGACATCACTTGCGAATACTGCCACTGATCGGGAATATGAATTTCAGCATCTCCCTCAATAATGCCTCTCATCTTCTTCACCTGGAAAATCTATAGTTCTCAGTCTGGACTGCACAGAAGAATCACAAAGGTCGCTGCTTCTAAAACTTTAATTTACATGCAAACCACCTGGTGGTCTTGTTAAATGCTGATTTTGATTCAATGGGCCTGGTGTAAGGCCTAATTAACATTTTGAAAGTTAAAATTTTACATTTGGTGATGCCAATTCTGCTGTTCTGTGGACCACACTAAAAGGACATATAATACATTTTAAAAATACAGATTACAGCACCATCCCCTGATACATGTAACCAGAATCTCAGGGAGGGGGCCTGAAGTAGGCTCCTTAAGTAATTAAAATATATAGACAAGGGATTGAAATCTCTGTATTAAATGCCTATCTCATAGATATGTCACTATGTTGAAATGATACAATCCTGTAAGAGAGTACATTGCATAGTATTAATGGACGCTATCATTAATGAAAAGATACTAAGTTGTGAACATTAAATCAAAGAATTTCTGGAACGTAGGAAAGTCTTGAAAGGCAGAGAGGTGAAGGGCAGAAAAGGAAAGTTATCATATCTGAAAAACTATCCCATAGAACATCATACAACCAGGGAAATGAAGACCCTCAGGTTGTAGGGACACTACGGTACCAGCTTATTTACCCTCCTGCCCAACTTACTGCATCTGAGGTTAACTCCAGGGCCCTGATCCAAAATCCTCCTCCCCTTTATTCGCTGTAGGCATATGACGTAATCACCTTTATAGTCATCACCTGTGTCTATAGCCACGCTTCTCAATTCTCCCTTCCTACCTATTCCTGGCCCTAGGGGACTGTGCATCCCAGAGGAGTCCAGATCCTGGAAGAACTCATTACAAACAAAGCAATTACACAGGGCCTCTCTAGAACAAATTATCTTAGAGTCTTGCAACAGTGACTGATTACAGTTGCTGATCACATCTTACTACACTTTGGGGGATCATGAGAATGGAGAGCTCAGAGATAGGTGCTTAATCATTGTGTACTTAGGAATGGAGAGGACACCTGTGAGGCTGAGGCCTCCATCTTGAGAAGTGAATAAAAACGGTTAGAGAAGTCGTAAAAGTAAGCAGTGACCAGTCTGTAAATGTCCTAAAATATCTGAAGGGTGTTAAGAGTTTAAGCTTTATCCTGTAGACAACAAGCATCAGTGGTCTTTGAATAGAGGACAACGTGGAAGGACATATGTTTTGGAAATATTTCCAGGTGGCAGAATCTCTCACTATAACCCAAATAGGCCCTGCAAATAGGCCCTAGGAGAGAGAAACACTGTAGCCAACAAGGATCAGGCTTTCATGACCCAACCATAAACAGATACAGAGAAAGGACAGGAGTAAAAGATGAACTCTCAGATCACATTCGATTCTTCCTCGGGCCAATACGGAAAAGCAAATCCAGATCTGCAGCCCTTTGAGTTACTTCTAGCTCCTTACCTCTCTAGGAAAACCTCAATAACCAGACACCATCATTATCCCAACCACTCTCCACATGTCAAGTTACCTCCTCCTACTAGCTTTTCCTTACCCTACAACGGACGTTTACGACTCCTTCTTCCACACCGAGTCCATGTTCCCTTCTTCTTAACCGCATCTAGATTCACCCTTCCTTCCTCGTAAGCCTGCATCCTCAGTGTTACTGCTTTTCTTGGGTTGCTATAATAGTGTTTCATCAACCTTTACTGACATCCAAGAGAATCCTCTGCATATCAGATATGGTCTTCCATTTCCTCATTATGCAGAGAAACACAATTTTCCATTGTTAACTGGGATTGAAGTACCACAGGCAGTAGAGTAAACCCCTCTCTGCCTATCGATTCGGAAACACCATGGAATATTATGCAGCCATCAAAAATGATGAGTTTGGGTCCTTTGTAGGGACATGGATGAACCTGGAAACCATCATTCTCAGCAAACTGACACAAGAGCAGAAAATCAAACACCGCATGTTCTCACTCATAGGTGGGTGTTGAACAATGAGAAGACATGGACACAGGGAGGGGAGCACTACACACTGGGGTCTGTTGGGGGGAAATGGGAGAGGGACGGGGGGTGGGGAGGTGGGGAGAGAGAGCATGGGGAGAAATGCCAGATATAGGTGAAGAGGAGGAAGGCAGCGAATCACACTGCCACGTGTGTACCTATGCAACAATCTTGCATGTTCTTCACATGTACCCCAAAACCTAAAATGCAATTAAAAAAAAAAAGAAAATAAAGCAAAACTCACAATTGAAAGGTGTCTATGTGGGAAAAGAACTCCATATCAGAGCTTAGAAATTCCTTGAAAACTTCTCTAACTCTTTATGCATTCTCCTACACACTACTTGCAGTGGGGTACCAAATTGAGAAACACAGGAACAGTCTGTCTGTTTCCAGAAGCAAGCATTAGCTAGATACACAGAGCCCCTAGTCTCAGGTTATCTGACCTACCAAGTGAAGGGCAATTTGGTTTTAGGTATGAGCGTTGAATCTCCATTTTCTAACTGGAATAAAATTTTGATTCCAAGATGTTCTTTTCCTAAAAGCTCTGTGACTGTACTGAACATTCCAAATGTTATGGCTTCAGTAGGCATCTCTTCTGTGTAGGACTTATATTTTGTATTTACTTTCCAAATTTTGGCTGTACTTATTGGCTACTTTTACACTCCAGAAAAAATACTGGTTATTTGAGAATTTTTAAACTACCTTATCTAAAACAATATGTTATTATCTAAAGATTATGAAATGAATGCAGTCAGTGTTATAATGCTACCATTATTTAGCTGTCTGTGTCTTTTGTTCCTTTACCCTTCTATGCTTTTTAATCAACCACTATATTTCTGTCATTAGGCTAATCATTCTGCTCATTGCTTCCTTACAGCTTTAACCGGAAGTTAAGGTTTAAATATTTAAATTGAGCCTTCATTGAGTTGTTACTTAAATCTATATCATGTAGATTGAGAGTAAAGATTTCTGCAAAGTGGCACTTCCTGTTGCTTTTTGGTGACAGAATGTCCTTAATTTTGAACAGGTTAGATACACAATACACAATGATAAAACCAAGGAAGCTTTAAAAATATGCCTCCTTGGGGAGCACTACACACTGGGGTCTGTTGGGGGGAAATAGGGGAGGGACAGTGCGGGGTGGGGAGTTAGGGAGAGATAGCACGGGGAGAAATGCCAGATATAGGTGAAGGGGAGGAAGGCAGCAAATCACACTGCCATGTGTGTACCTATGCAACTATCTGCATGTTCTTCAAATGTACCCCAAAACCTAAAATGCAATTAAAAAAAAAAGAAAAAAAAAGAGCCAAAATTGCCAAATGGCAGTCTCAACTTTCAGTAGAACAGAACCAACGAAGCCCTTCTGGTAAAAGCATTCCTCCCTTTAGAATCGTACCAGACACTTCCTGTGCACAACTTCAGATTCCCTCGGCCATCTTCTTATTCCAGCCACAGCTGCAGTAACCAGTTCTGCGCAGACTTCGACCAGCTTCACATACATTCAGTCTGACGGTATTACCTCAGGCCTATTCCATCTGCTTCTTGTGTCCCGCCATATGGTTTCTCTGATCCCACGGAGCAGAATATCATGGAAAACCAGCCCAATACTCATACATACCCAACCAGAAAGTGGAAGAGAGTTGTTGCTGTGTTGGTCACCCCTTAAGTACAGGTGCTGGGAGCTTATGCATATATGCCATAGGTCCTCCTAGTGGCTGCCAACTCATTAAGCCATCCTAGTAACTGGTCTTCCTCCTTCCCTACTTAACACCCCCGCTATTGCTTACTTCTTCACATGAACTAAAATTCTCAAATAAACTACTTACAAATAAGACTTTTTCTCTGTGTCTACTTTTTGGGTAACTAAAGCTAGACAGAAAGTAAGATCTGTAAATCAACAGAGCCCAAAATTGTGGGGGTAGGAAGCAAAAGTTCTGTGGGTACATTAGTTGGTCTAATAATGAGGAAAGTCAGCCCTGCTACCATTCCTTGATTTCCAGACTCATGAATCATGGTTATGGGAGAAACATGACGATATATGGGCTCCAGGTTCAAAGCACACCAACCGTTCTGGTACCCCTAATTTTTGTTACTTTGTGAACTGCTTCGTCTCTAGCATCTGCAGCAATGCCTGGCACAAAGCAGATTTTCATTAAATATTGAATTAAATGAACCACACAGACTAGCAGTTCCAGAACAATGCTTAGTAACAGTACTGACAGTGGGCAGACTTGTCTTTTTCCCGACAGTGCAAATACCTCTAGTATTAAGCCTTAATGGCTGATGCTGGCTTTTAAGCTAACTCAGATGTATTATTATCCCATATTAAATAAGCATGATCTAGTCCTGTTACAGTCAGCACTGTTATCTAGGATGGTTGTGAAATTTTAGCAAATATATCATTTTAATAAAAACATTAAAATTATGCTTCAAAAACTCCACACTTAAAAGGATTCAAATACTTTAATTCAACAAGTGAAATATAGGAAAACAGTAGCTATAAAACTATGGAGATGGTAAATTAAGCAATAACAGAAAACTGCTATAACTTATGCTATTTAAACTTCCTTATATCCCTACTTAAGTTTCATTCATTACATTAACATAATACTGCATCTCAACATCTGCAATTTTGACAAATGCCTGGAAAGTTTTTTGTTCAGAAACAGATGCCGGTCTGACAGAAACACATTTGAAAATGTTCTTTTTCTGGTCATAGTTGCCAACACACCTATGAACTCGGCCTCTAATCAGTCTTGGAAGTTCACGATCCTGTTTTTCAAAAAATAAATATAAAAAAATTAATTACTTCCTTTGGATTTCAATTTTTTTAAATATTGATACAATCAACTAAACATGTATCAGCTCAAAATGCTATAATTCTTTCACGTGAGTCAGGGCCCCACTGCTGACAAGACTATGATAGTTATTCACATAGTGGTGCCCTGTAGCAGAGGAGAGACCCTCACTTGGTAGGGCTTTTACAAGCTAGCAAGTTGTTGCCTCTTCAAAGACTGAATAATTCCCAGGGTAACGACACATGAATTACCCACTCTTATATTGCATTCTCAGAGTTCCACTTTCAGTAGGCAGCAGACTGGATGATTCAAAACAGCTCATCGGATAAGAGCAATTAGAATAACTGGATGAAATGTTTTGTTAAAAATCTCCCGGCTGGGCATGGTGGCTGATGCCTGTAATCCCAGCACTTTGGGAGGCTGAGGTGGGTGGATCACAAGGTCAAGAGATCGAGACCATCCTGGCCAACATGGTGAAACCCCGTCTCTACTAAAAACACAAAAATTAGCTGGGCGTGGTGGCACGCGCCTCTGGTCCCAGCTACTCGGGAGGCTGAGGCGGAAGAATCTCTTGAACCCAGGAGGTGGAGGTTGCAGTGAGCCAAGACTGCACCACTGCACTCCAGCCTGGCAACAGAACA